GGTCAGTCCTAGAGGAGGTCAACCCTGACTGCTCTTTAGAAGGCCAGATCCTGAAGTTGAAACTCAGATACTTTGGCCACCTAATGAGAAGGAAGGACTCACTGGAGGAGAGCCTCATGCGGGGAAAGATTGAGGGCAAATAGAAGAAGGGGACGACAGAGAATGAGGTGGGTGAATGGAGTCACTGAAGCAGTAGGCATGAGTTTAAATGGACTCCAGAAGATGGTAGAGGACAGGAAGGCCTGGAGGAACGTTGTCCATGGGGTCGCGATGGGTCAGACACGACTTCGCAATTAACAACAACAACAAGGGTTTCCAGGATGACACGCTGACTTTGTAGCCGTCCTTTGAAAACTGGCAGCAGATCAGATCTTTTGTAGAAGGCTGCCTTCAACAGAGTCTTGCCATTGGCTCAGGTCTGCCAGAGCACCTATGAACAGTCTGGGGCCTTACAAATGTTGGCCTCTTTTTCTCATCATGCTAGGCAGCATTCTGTAGTCTTATGACATCTGGAAGGGCTATCCTTAGTCTAGACTGACAACCTGGCAGAGACTCTCCATAATTACAGACATGTCTACCCCCAAGTTTATCCAGAATTGATCTTAGGAGTTTTTGCAAACAGCCCCTGTCCTCTTCTATTGGGCCAAATACTTCCTCCAAGACGGTTGCTATAGGTGAGACTTGACCTTGTGTCAATTCCTGCTCTGCCTCTGCTTTTCTAGCGAATCTGCCCCTCATATGCTTCCATCCCTCCCCATCCCAAAGGTGCTTTTTTCAGGTGGCAACTGGATTTTTTTGTTTTTCTTTGAAGACGTTTGGCTTCTCATCCAAGAAGCTTCTTCAGCTCTGACTGGATGGTGGGGAAGGGAAGGATTTATATTCCTCTGCAGACAGCTGGTCATTTGCCTTCTTTTAGCGAGTCGTTGAGGCCACTTGTAGGTTTATCTGTGTCCTCAAGCTCACCTGAGTGGGGTCAAATGGGTGTGGAACCTTCTTGGAACTGCTGCAAGGATCGTCATAGACTGGAGATAGATGAGGTCGTATCCATTTGCACCACTCAGGTGAAACAACGCGTCTTCAGAGAAAAACAAAAAAAAGTCCAGTTGCCTCGTGAAAAAAGCACCATTGTGATAACTATGACCAGGATGACTGAGAGTCTCCATAGACAATCCCTCCCCATAATTCTCTCCTCTCCACAGGCTTCAGCTACTGTCACAATCCCCAAAGAACACCATCGCTTTGTGATTGGCAAGAATGGCGAGAAACTGCAGGAGCTTGAACTAAAGACGGCCACCAAGATCAACATCCCGCGGCCCGAGGACCTCAGCAGCCAGATCAAAATTATGGGCACCAAAGAAGGCATCGAGAAAGCACGTCATGAGATCTTGCTCATCTCAGCAGAGCAGGTGAGCGGCTAGAGGCGCTAGAGGCGACAGGGTGGAGATGTGAAGTTGGCTTCTGCAATTGATATTTTGAACATCTCCTGGAACATCTTGGTTCTAAAACAGGGTGGGGTGGGGTAGGGTAAAGTAGAGTAGAGTAGAGTAGAGATAGAATAGAATAGAATAGAATAGAATAGAATAGAATAGAATAGAATAGAATAGAATAGAATAGAATAGAATAGAGTTGGAAGGGACCTTGGAGGTCTTCTAATCCAACCCCCTGCTCAGGCAGAAAACCCTATACCACTTCAGTCAGTCTCTTCTTCAAAACACAACTAGTAGTAACTGTGAGAGGGATCTTGGCGTCCTAGTGGACAACCACTTAAATGTGAGCCAGCAAATGTGCTGCAGCTGCCAAAAAAGCCAACACAGTTCTAGGCTGCATTAACAGAGGGATAGAATCAAGAACATATGAAGTGTTGATACCACTTTATAATGCCTTGGTAAGGCCACACTTGGCATACTGCATCCAGTTTTGGTCACCACGATGTAAAAAAGATATTGAGACTCTAGAAAGAGTGCAGAGAAGAGCAGCAACGATGATCAGGGACCTGGAGGCTAAAATATATAAAGAATGATTGCTATATATTGTGGGCTCCATTGTGGTTCATAAGCTGAGGACTACCTGTATTTATACAAAATAATAAAAGCAGGATACAAATAAATAGCTTAAAGAGCTTTAGTTGTGTCACATAGCATAGAAGGAAGTGTAGTGGATGGTTCCATCTATCTGCTCATGTCTAGTCATCCTGAGGTTTCTCCATGGTTTTATTTTAGGACAAACGAGCAGTGGAACGCTTGAACCTGGAGAAGGTCTTCCACCCCTTCATCGCTGGGGCCTTCAACAAAACAGTCCAGGAGATCATGCAGGAGACGGGCGCACGCATCAACATCCCCCCGCCCAGCGTCAGCAAGGATGAGATCATCATTACCGGGGAGAAAGAACCCGTCTCCCAGGCTCTCCTGCGCATCCGCAAGATCTATGAGGACAAGGTAGGTGCCTGAGGGATCCCTACTGGAGCATCTGTCGCCATATTGTTTTTTTTACTTCACTCTGGCAGCCATTTTCTTTCCTGTCTCCTCAGTTCCCCTTCCTTCTCAGAGCCAGAGTTGCTGAGACTTTGTGCTAGAGAGATTGGCAGAGCCAGAGGAAGGAGTCAAGTGAGGAATTAGTTTGGAATCTCTGCATAGTCACAAGAGGCTAAAGCCCAATGTCCCTTGAATGCCGTTGAGCCTTTTCTAGTTTTTCCCAGGTTCCAAGCCATTAGTCTGAAATGATTCCTATGTATAGTCTTGAGCAATAAAGCATCAATTGAACCCTTCACATGGGGATCTGATTGTTCGTGCCCGACACATTAGGAGCAAAACATTTTCACATGTTTGGACTTCATAAAATCCTGGAGTTAGAAGGGGCTAAATTAACATAGAGGCAGTCCTCAATTTACAATAATTTAGTGACCGTTCGAAGTTACAACGGCACTGAAAAAAAGTGACATATGACCATTTTTCTAACAACTGTTGCCCCATTCTCATGATCAGGGGATCAAAATTCAGATGCTTGGCAACCGATTCATATTTAAGACGATTGCAGTCTCATGGGATCACGGGATCACGGGATTCCCTTTTGTGACCTCCTGGCAAGCAAAGTCAATGGGGAAGCCAGATTCACTTCACAGCCGTGCTACTAACGTAACAACTGCCATGATTCACTTAACAACTGTGGCAAGAATGGTCATAAAATGGGGCAAAACTCACTTCACAAATGTCTCACTTAGCAACGGAAATTGTGGTCGTAAGTTGAGGACTACCTGTAGATGGAGACATGTGAAGGTACAGTCTGAGACATTGGTTCTCCACTCAAAGTGCTCTAACATTAGAAACTTTCTTCCAAAATTTAATCAGAATTTGCTTTCTGATAATTCAGAACCTTTATTATTCCGCGTCTTGTATTCTGGGGTGACAAACAACAAACCTTGAGTTTTTTCATATGACTTCCCTTTAGGTCATATCCTCTTTAAATTGTCTTTTTTCAGGTAAATATTTCCAGATGCTTTAATACAGGGGTGTCAAACGCGCGCAATGTCACGTGACGTGTTGTGACGTATTGGGTGTGCGCGGTTTCGCTGTGATGCATCCGGCCTGCGGGCCGGCAGTTTGACACCCCTGCTTTAATATATTCTACGGCCTTGCTATACATTGCGTAACCGCATCTGTGTTTTCGCTGAGCAGAGTTTTTGGACGTCTGAATAGAGAAATGGCTAATAATCCTAGGGCAGGAGTAGGCAACCTTGGCTCTTTTGTGACTCGTGGACTTCAACTCCCAGAATTCCTGAGCCAGCATGGCTCAGCTTGGAAACCTCTCCCTTTCCCCTCAGCATGGCTGGCTCAGGAATTCTGGGAGTTGAAGTCCACGAGTCATAAAAGAGCCAAGATTGCCTACCCCTGGACTAGGCCTAGGCCACTTTCTGACTCGTGGACTTCAACTCCCAGAATTCCTGAGCCACCATGGCTCAGCTTGGAAACCTCTCCCTTTCCCCTCAACATGGCTGGCTCAGGAATTCTGGGAGTTGAAGTCCACGAGTCATAAAAGAGCCAAGGTTGCCTACCCTTGGACTAGGCCTAGGCCACTTTCTGACTTGTGGACTTCAACTCCCAGAATTCCTAGCCAGCATGGCTCAGCTTGAAAACCTCTCCCTTTCCCCTCAGCATGGCTGGCTCAGGAATTCTGGGAGTTGAAGTCCACGAGTCATAAAAGAGCCAAGGTTGCCTACCCCTGGATTAGGCCTAGGCCACTTTCTGACTCGTGGACTTCAACTCCCAGAATTCCTGAGCCAGCATGGCTCAGCTTGGAAACCTCTCCCTTTCCCCTCAACATGGCTGGCTCAGGAATTCTGGGAGTTGAAGTCCATGAGTCACAAAAGAGCCAAGGTTGCCTGTCCTAGAGCAAATTGGGGAAGGAAGCAATTGTGTGAAGGGTATGTCCCAAAGGTGTTTTTTCAAGAGGCAACTGGACTTTCTTGTTTTTTCTTTGAAGAAGTTTCACTTCTCATCCAAGAAGTTCTTCCGCTCTGACTGGATGGTGGGGCAATGGAAGGATTTATATTCCTTGCAGACAGCTGGTCGTGTGCCTTCGTTTAGAGAGTCGTTGAGGCCACTTGGAGGTCTACCTGTGTCCTCAGGGTTACCTGAATAGTGCAAATGGGTGTGGGGCCTTCTTGGCTGGAGGATGTTTTTTGCCTTCACTGTTGAAGACAGGCGCACAGGCTGTTGGGGAGGAGTCTGTGTTGTCTGCCTCTCAGACTGAAGCGCAAATGGTTCCTGCAGTCTGCTCCGCACCCATTTGATTATTGGGGGGCTGTGATTTAAGGTTGGCTTTGCATCTTTTCTGGCTTTGAAGCTGCCTCTGGCTGTCTTTCAGAAGCGCAAAACCACCACCATCTCCGTGGAGGTAAAGAAGTCCCAGCACAAGTACATCATCGGCCCGAAAGGAAACACCTTGCAGGAAATCCTAGATACCACTGGAGTCTCGGTGGAGATGCCGCCCCTTGAAAGCAGCTCGGAGACCATCATTCTGCGTGGAGAGCCAGACAAACTGGGGCCAGCCCTAACTCAGGTCTATGCCAAGGTATCCATCTGCCACGGTCACATAAAGGCCTAGGGTAGGCAACCTTGGCTCTTTTATGACTCGTGGACTTCAACTCCCAGAATTCCTGAGCCAGCCATGCTGGCTCAGGAATTCTGGGAGTTGAAGTCCACGAGTCATAAAAGAGCCAAGGTTGCCTATCCCTGGACTAGTCAGCCAGGGATATTTCACATGGGACCAGCACAGTAGTATCACTGGCAGCCAGGCACCTTGACTGATGTGCCAAAGTCAGTAAAATAAATCCGGCTTTTCCCCTAGAATTTGTGTAAGATAACTGAAAACAAAAATGCGCATGAACTTTAAAGACCAGCTGGGTAAAAATGTTGGATCCGTGCAGCAGGTATTTTTTCTCTGTGTGCATATGTGTGTTTCCTCTCATTTTTCCTTTGGATGGATACCCGCTGTTTTGTTTAAATTAAACTGGTATTGTATCAGACAGGGTCCACTGTGTTTAGATTAAGGTTGTAAATCACGAACAGGATGTGGTGTCCTAGTGAACTTAGTAAATTGTGTTTTTTTTTTTCAGGAAACCACATTAAACAAACTGTGAAAAAGTAGAGATGGGCAATCTTTGATGGTCAAAAGTGGCACTTAAAAGGGGGGGGGGAAGAACGTGGGGCCACTTTATCTAAGGAAACATTGGGGCTTTGGAGAATTTCTACCTCCTTATTTTTAACAATGACATTCTTGGACTTTATATATTATATTATATTATATTGTATTGTATTGTATTGTATTGTATTGTATTGTATTATATATTATTATATTATATTATATTATATTATATTATATTATATTATATTATATTATATTATATTATATTATATTATATTATATTATATTATATTATATTATATTATATTATTATATTATATTATATTATATTATATTATATTATATTATATTATATTATTATATTAATTATATTATATTATATTATATTATATTATATTATATTATATTTATTATATTATTTATATTTATATATCCTTTATAACACTAAAAATGCAAATCCTGGGCATCATATTGACAAAATTAAAAGAAAAGCGAACATCAGGATAAAAGTAAACAAGACTGTTTAATGTAGATAAAAAGTCACTAAGCTTTCGTCTGCTAAACTGCCGACATCGTCAGAGTTGGAGTAAAAGGAGATCTGGGAGCTGGCTTATATAGCCGCTTGCCTCTGCGCCCGGCTTCTCGAGCGCGTCATCGGCCCATTGATTGTGCTCGTCCGTAATGCGCTGAGTTGCTCTACAACTGGCAATCTGCCCGTGGCCCTGATGGTTGTCTTCCGATCTTCAATCGCTCTTCTGGCGATTGTTCAGTTCAGTTCCCTTATCCACTGCGGCTTTAAAAACCATCAAGGGAACAGCGATTACGTGCCTTCCAAGAATGAAACAATCAGAGACATCAGATGGACAGATGACTAGGTCCAGGAGCCGTGCGCAAAATCGGCCGGCGTTATAAAAAGGGAACTCCCATTGACTTGTTTCTATGCTCTGATGATGTCAGCAGTGCTGGCCGACGAAAGCTCAGCATTTTTATTAAACAAATCCTAGTTTGATATTATCCTGGTGTTCGTATTTATTTGTTTTTACTACATGGCATCATCCAGGATTCAAATTTTTAACGTAATTAGAGACACACACACATTATATTATATTATTATATTATATTATATTATATTATATTATATTATATTATATTATATTATATTTATTATATTATATTATATTATATTATATTATATTATATTATATTATATTATATTATATTATATTATATTAATTATTATATTATATTATATTATATTATAAATTATTTTATATTATATTATAAATTATTTTATATTATATTATATTATATTATTATATTATATTATATTATATTATAATATTATATTATATTATATTATATTATATTATATTATATTAATTATATTATATTATATTATATTATATTATATTATATTATATTATATTATTATTATATTATATTATTATATTATATTATTATACTATACTATACTATACTATAGTATACTATACTATACTATACTATACTATACTATATTTTTTATTATTATTATTATTATTATTATTATTATTATTATTATTATTATTATTATTATTATTATTATTATTATTATTTGTTTCCTAACTCAGAATGGGAGAAAAGTTGAGTTTTAGCAAAATTGGATAAGTTTGAGGGACACAAAACAGGGATTTAATGGGTATGTGAATCCTAGAGGCTGAAGATTAACCAACTCTGGCTTAGTGTAATTGGGCAACTTGCAAATCTAATTAAGAAAAATAAACACGAGAATGTTGCAATGATGCCATAATGCCACCTGGAGGCAGAATGCAGGTATTGCATCATTAAAAACACTTGCCAGCCTTGGTATCTCACTCGAATGCAGACCTGTCTGTAGCCAGGTTTTCAAAGCCACTCTTGCGAATGACGCCGGTAAACTCTCCTTGCCAAATCCTGTCCCTTTTACCTAGGCGAAGAGTGTGATGGTAGCTGAAGTAATGGCCCCAGCCTGGTTACATCGTTTTATAATTGGGAAGAAAGGACAGAATATTGGCAGGATCACCCAGCAACTCCCCAAGGCAAGTATTCCTAAAATAACATGGCTATAAATAAAATAGTGAGAGTAAAAACTGTGATTTGATGCATGAAATATTGTTAAAAAAAAGAAAAGCATGTCTCTTCCTTGAGGATACCGGAAAAGTAGGAACTAAATTTGGAGAGTTCATTGGGCCCTTTGCCCCTCCCTTAATAGATCCTGGAGCACCTTAAATCTCGGGTTTCAGGTCCACATTGTTCTAATACAGGTAGTCCTCAACTTGCAACCATTCATTTAGGGACTGTTCAGCTTACAATCAGTTTTCACGTTTACAACCATCATACCATTTAAGGACAGAAACAACCTAGAATAGTGGTGGCGAACCTACGGCACGGGTGCCAGAGACGGCACTCAGAGCCCTCTCTGTGGGCACACCTGCCGTCGCCCCAGTCCTAGGCCTTCAGCTGGGTTTTATAAAACCTTTTCTGTTTAGGCTTCTGCCGCCGTGTGCAAAAAAACCCAAAACAGTTCAATCAGTCAATTTCAACTTCTCGCGGGAAAAAAAAAAGATCTTGCAAAGTTGGAATTGATTGATTGAATTTTTTAGTCCCACCCAGTCTGCCATGACTACCGCAGCCACGCCCACCCACTTGGGCCACGCTCACCCGGCTCCCGACGATGCACAAGTGGGTTTTGGGTTACCGTTTGGGCACTCAGTCTCTAAAAGGTTCACCACCACTGACCTAGAACTAAGAAAAAAATTCCTGACAGTTAGAACAATTAACCAGTGGAACAACCTGCCTCCAGAAGCTGTGAATGCTCCAAGGTCCCTCCTATTGTATTCTATCTTTGTGCTCATGGGATCAAAATTGGGGCCCGTGGCCACAGGTGTGTATTTACAAAAGTCGCAACGTCCTGGGGGGGTGTGTGTGTCATGCTACCACCATTTGTGACCTTCCCAACTGACGTCTCACTAGCAAAGTCAATGGGAGAAGCCATATCCACTTAACGACCACACGATTCGGAACAAGTGCAGTGGTTCGCTTAATGACTTTGCCAGAAAAACTCACAAAACTGGGTGCGTTCGCTTCACAACTACCTTGTTCGGCAATGGAAGTTCTTGCCCCAGTTGTGGTCGTGTGTCGAGGACTACCTGCGGATGAGTTTCCTGGAAGCATTTTAATGACGTCTTAAAAACTACACTTATTGAGATCTGTTGGGATATACACATTTTTGATGGCACGGCTCATCCGCTTTCAGGTCCACATTGAATTCACGGACGGCGATGAGAAGATCACTCTGGAAGGACCCACCGAGGAGGTGGAATTGGCCCAAAGCCAGATTCAGGAAATCATTCGTGACCTGGTGAGTCCTCCTGTGAATCTTACGTGTATTTTCTCTCTTTTTTTTTTCGTCAGACACATCCCTATAGCAGGAAGAGCAAAAAAGTTTTAGATCCAGGTCAGCAAGTTTATCTGTTTCCTCCTTGGCAGCAGCGTGAATTGTGGCCAGTGATATTATGGGTATCGCCCGTTGGTGAGATGATGCAGAACTATTTGCAGAAGTGGGTGCTTAAAACACCCACGTTGCCCTTTTTCGGGTGTTATTTGGTCTCTTAAAACTTCCTCAAAATGTGATCCAGAAATTAAAAGTCCTGCCTGTTCAAATGGGCAGCAGAGGTCCAATTAGAAAGCTGAAGTCCGGTGGGTTATCTCCCCTACCTGCCTGCTGGAATTTGAATATCAAACTTACTAAAGCAGTAACATAAAAAGAAAACTTATATAAAATGTTTTATAGATGGCACCATAACACCAGTTCGCTTAGCGAAAATGTTTAAAAATTTATCGGATACATGTTGGAAATGTAAGCAAAAACCGGGTACTTATTATCATGCCTGGTGGACATGTTCTATTGCAAAAAAAATATTGGTCTAAGATTCATAGATGGTTAGAAAAGATGATGAAAATCCAGATAGAATTTAAACCAGAACTGTTCCTGTTAGGTATATTAAGACCTAATTATGGCAAAGAAAATGATTATTTAATATTACGTGTATTAACAGCTGCAAGAATAGTATTCGCCCAATTTTGGAAAAATGAAAACCTACCATCAGACCAGATTTATAATTTTGAAAATCCTAGATTGTGCAGAAATGGACAGATTAACGTTAGAGATGAAGGAGAAAGAAGATTCAATCTTTTATAAAACCTGGGGGAAATTTTATCAGTGGGTTGAAACACGTTAGAATAAGAAGAGATTTTAGAGTTTTAATATATTAAGTATTAAGGTTGATGATTGGAAATATTCGTTATACTATTAACTATGTTAATTATTTAAAGGAATATTACTGTTTTATCAAATGTTCGTTGTAACTATACCGATTTATTTTTATAAATGTCTAGTATTATATAAACAATGATACTCAGTATGAAGACCCGGACGACAGCTTGTTCGCTGAATTACGTATTTACTGTAGTTACCCACACCCTGTCCCCTTTATCCCGATTTTCCTGTACCCGCACCGACCCCCTCTTTTTCCTACCCATATAAAATCTAATAAAATATATTTTAAAAAAAAAGACATTGGGCTTGACGGCTGGAAAGGTGACAGCCCAAGTTTGAGACCTAGCGCCGTGCAATGGAGTGAGCTCCCATTCCTTGCTCCAACTCCAGGCCACTTAGCAGTTTGAAACATGCAAATGTGAGTAGGTAAAAAGGTACCACTTTGGTGGGAAGAGAACAACATTCTGTGCGCCTTTGGCCTATAGACATGCTGGCCACATGACCACCAAAAAATGTCTTTGGGCAACGCTGGCTCCCTCAGCTAAGAAACAGAGATGAACACCAACCCCTTAAGAGTCGGACAGGACTGGACAGGGGAAACCTATACAACTACTTTTTATTGCCATGTTGCCAAAAAGGGCACTGGACTTTCCAGAAAACAAGGATCTCTTGGAAAAATCTTAACAAAACTGTATTGGGGGAGCAAATAGATTCCAATTCGGGCATCCATTCTGAACCTGTGAACATTGAAAATCCACCGAGAAGCAGTTTTTTTTTTTTTTTTTTTTAAGACTGTCAGAAGAGCTTTGTTGTTGCTTTGTTGTTGCTAGGATAAGCGCGTCATATAATCATACGGCTGGAAGGGACCTTGGAGGTGAGGGACGTGAAAGAGTGTGCCAAACCTATTCAGTTTCACATTAATGCAGGGGTCTCCAAACTTGGCAACTTTTAAGACTTGCAAACTTTTAACCCCCACGGCTGGCTGGGGAATTCTGGGAGTTGAAGTCCGCAAGTC